AGCTAAACCAGAATAAACAGGGCTTGATTAAATACATAATTAATGTTCTGCTAAAGCCGGCATGTATGAATATTAATTAGCAGCAAGAGTCTGCAGTTTGGCATCTCCTGTCATTATCAATTTATCCTTTCCATTGGCATTCCCAGCTTTGGAACAAATTATCCAACCTTTCCTGCACAAACACGCAGTGACTGTGGGAGGCTGGGCTGGGGCTTCCATTCTCTGCCCTCCACAAGAAGCTGCTCCCAGCCTGCAAACAAAGACAGAGGCACCGCCAGGACCCAGCCAGCTCAGCCCTAAAACGGGCTCCAAGTCCCTGAAACAACTCCCTGCTGGCAATAAATGGGGAGCTCGTCCCCCACCAGCAGGGATGGAGCTTGGGAGGGCAGGCAGAGGAAACTGAGGCAGAGTTTGGGGTGGGAGTGAGGATTCACAGCAGCTCAGAGCCCCACCAGGGCGGGCTGGATCCCCTCCTGCAGCATCCCAGCCTCTCCCAGGGATGCGGAGCTGTGGGAAGAGTTCTGGAGGCACAGGAAGGACAGAAAATCTCGGGAATGACAGAAAACCCTCGGGAATGACCCGGAAACCTCTTTGGGAGTACAGAGGGCTCCTGGGGAAGCAGAGGGAGCAGCAGAGCCAGGAGTTGCTGCCAGAGGAAGCTGGAGAAGAGCAGGCTCTGGAGAGAGCCCTTTCAGTACATTTGAAGCACTTAAAAAAGCTGATTTTCCTTAGAAGAGCTTGTAAAAAAGATGGTGTGGCTTTTTACACAGGCAGCTGGTGATAGGACAAGGGGGAATGGTTTGAAAGGGAAAGAGGGAAGATCTCCATGAAATGTCAGGAACCAATTGCTCCCTGTGAGGCTGGGGAGCCCCTGGAATGGATTTCCCAGGGCAGCTGTGGCTGCTCCATCCCTGGAGGTGCCCAAGGCCAGCTTGGAGCACCCAGGGGCAATGGGAGATGTCCCTGCCCATGGCAGGGGGGGCACTGGATAAGCTCTGAGGTCTTTTCCTGTGGGAACCCAGGGCTTCCCTCTGGCTGCCCTGGCAGGTCTGGGACCCCAGCACGGGTCAGGAATCCCCTGGACAGAGCCCCCAGAGACACTGGCTGTGATCTCTGTCCATGGAAAAGAGTTTTCAATCTTATAGGATGAATTACCAGCTCTGAGTGTTTGATATCAGTAATAATTAAGTGTGGCACGGGTGCAAAAGTAAAATTTTAGGATTCTAGATGAGGGGTCCAAAGGGGACAAGATGGAGGAAATTGGGTGTGCCTTGTCCTTTTTCTCCTTCTTCATGCCCTCCATGTCTCACTGTGGTGTTGGCATTTTTCTGTTGGTTCAGGCTGGGGACACACTGTCCAACGTAGGTGACAGATATTGGCACGTTATTGTCAATGCAGCCCAGGGAGTTTCTGGTATTTAATGTTTGTCACATCCCACTGAGGGCAGAGCCCCACACGCTGCCCTGCAGGACAGAGCTGGGCAGGGCAGCAGAACATGTGAGAGATGAACAGAATAAACAACCTGGAAACCAGCACAGACAAATTCTGGCTTCTGCTTTGGCAGGGGGCTGACAGACAGAGACTTTCTGCAATCTCAGGATCATCAATAGCTCAGATTCTGACACTTTCCCACCCAAAGCATTCCAGGACTCCCTGAGGAGGAGGGGGTGATGTTCCAGGGCTCGGAGCACCCCCAGCAGCAGGAGTGCTCACCCTGGAGGAGCCTGTGCTAATTTCAATTAAATCCCACTTCACTCACGCCCGTGCCAGCCTTTCCTCTGGCAGGGCTGCTGGTGGAGGCAGAGTTTCCTGCCTTTCCAAACCCTGCCTGCAGCTGGCACCCCGCTGCTTTCTCTGGGAGAGCAGAGGGAATTCAGAGCCCCAGAGTGCTGCTCACCTGTCGGAATCTGAGATGAGCCCTCAGTGGGATGTGACAAACATTAAATACCAGAAACTCCCTGGGCTGCATTTACAAGAACGTGCCAATATCTGTCACCTACGTTGGACAGTGTGTCCCCAGCCTGAACCAACAGAAAAATGCCAACACCACAGTGAGACATGGAGGGCATGAAGAAGGAGAAAAAGGACAAGGCACACCCAATTTCCTCCAGCTCGTCCCCTTTGCACCCCAAATCTAGAATCCTAAAATTTTACTTTTGCACCCGTGCCACACCAAATTATTACTGATATCAAACACTCAGAGCTGGTAATTGATCCTGTAAGATTGAAAACTCTTTTCCATGGACAGAGATCACAGCCAGTGTCTCTGGGGGCTCTGTCCAGGGGGTTCCTGACCCCTGCCAGGGTCCCAGGGCAGCCAGAGGGAAGCCCTGGGTTCCCACACTCACCTGATTTATCCACAGATTTCTCAGGGCACCAGGGCAGCTGGCAGCCTGTGCCCTGTGGGGAGGCTCAGGTGTCACCTCTGTCATTTGGGACTGGAGGTGATTTTGGACAAATCCCCACGGACAGGAGGGTGTGCCTCAGGGCTCTGGCGTTGCTGACAGCCCCAGTGTCACCAGCAGCAGCGTGGGGCTGCAGGACAGCCCCTGGGGAGAGCAGGAGGGGATTTGGGGGTGCAAGCTCAGCAGGGACAGAGCAGCCCTGACTGAGCCCCAGCAGGGCCTTGCTGGAACTCAAAATGTCCCTCAGACATTTTTGGATGTTCCGAGCCCAGGTCAGAAGCATTTGAGACCCTGGCAGGCAGCTGGAAACAGCTGTGATTTTGGGTTTGAGCCATGGAATGAGTTACCAACTTTGCAGGGAGAACAAGAAGTCACAAAAGTTTAGATATTAGAGTAGGAGTAGTCACAAAGTAAAGGGAAGAATTTTTGAGTGCTGTACAGGGGAGTTTTGGATTTGGGCCTGCCCTATTCCTCCACTTTCTCCTTCCTCACCTCCATGTTCCTGGTGATGTTGGCACTCACAGATTGGTTTAGAGTAGAAAAGCACCATTTAATATAGGAAATAGGCATTGGGGGAAACTGCAAACATGTAACACGTAATGTACCATAGAAAAGATAGAAAATCACCATTTAATATAGGTAATAGGTATTGGGGGAAACTGCAAACATGTAACACGTAATGTACATATAAAAGAAAATCACCATTTAATATAGGTAATAGGCATTGGAAAAACTGTCACCATGTCACACGTAATGTCCCATATAAAAGACAGCAGCAGCCCTGGCGGGGAGAGAAGAAGCAGTCGGGGTCAGAGAGGATGTCAGGGTGTGTGTGTGCCTCTGCCTGAGCTCTGAGCAAACCACAGCAGCCCCAGGAGAAAATCTTTTAGATAACTTGCAATAAACTGCCTTGAGACCAACAACAGAGACTGCTGAGCCTTTCTTTGGAAGCTCGGGCTGGAGGAGAGACTTTTCCAGCACACGGAGCCACCCCCGACCCAGGGTGAGCCCCACTCTCACCTCTCTGGGGGTGAAGGTTGCTGGTGTGGCCTGTGAGATGTGAGGGAGGGTTTGAGACCCTCGGTGACCCTGCAGAGGTGGCTTTGTGCTCCGGGAGCAGCAGGGACAGGGCAGCTTTAACCTCCTGGTGCCGCTTTGGTCACCCCTCTGCAGAGCTGTCTCCTCCTGTGGTGACAGCAGGAATCAGGGAGGTGCCACCTGCCCCTTCGCCCCCTGACCCCTCGTCTGAGGGATGAAATCCAATTCCACTTCACTCAGTGCAGACATTTCCCCTTTTTTTTGAGTGTGTGGTTAATTTAAAGCTCCTTCCTCACCTCTCCTGCCAGGCACCTTCCTCTCCCAGCAACACCTGGAGCTGAACCGCAGCACCCAAATGATCCCACTCCAATTAATTCAAAAAAGAGGGATGAGGAGGGAGAAATGTTTTGCTGCTGATGACAAACTGGAGCAGGTTCATGCCCAGGAACAGCTCGTGCTGGTGATGCAAGAAGAGCAGCAAATCATTAACTCCCAGCTTCTTATCAGGATAACCCAGCCCCAGGCAGCTGCCTGCCCCAGGGGGCACAGCGAGCACCCAAAGGTGCCCACAGCCAGCTGGAAGGAGGCAATTCCCAGCCCAGGATCACCAGGAGGCTGGAAGGGAGGAGGAGGAAGCAGCCAGGAGCTCTGCGTGTGTTCCCTTGGATTTTGTCACTGCCAGGGAAAGCCAGGAGCTGGGATTCCACACCCACCGTGGAAGGGCATCCCAGGGGGATTGAGCATGGATGTCCTGGCACTGCAGAAAGTCACTCCCAAAGTCACCAGGCACAAGGGGAGGTGTGGGGGTCCAAGGGAGCCCCGAGCCCAGCAGCTCCACACTGCCAGTACCCAAGGAAACATGGCTCTCTCCAAAACCTTCCTGGTTCCTTCCCAAATTTACAGATCCTGAAGCCTTTCCCTGGACTGACCCAGCCTGAGCCCGGCACGGAGCAGAGGAGGCGAGGGAAGTAGAGGAGGAGGAGGAGGAGGAGGAGGAGGAGGAGGAAGGGGGAAGGAGCCAGGAGAAAAGCCCTGGAAAAGGTTGCTTTATTTTACTTCCAACATCCCCAAGGACTGCAGAGCAGCTGAGCTGTCCCAAACCCATCTCCTCACCCTCTGATCTCCTCTGCCAGCCCCACCAAGCCCAGCCTGGCAGGACCTGCAGCTCCACAGTTTTCCACCCACTGTCCAGGAAATAAACGCTGAGGCAGGATCTGCAGATCCCCCTGCAGAGACTGATCCCAGATCTCTGGCTGGCCACAGGCAGAGGGAGGCTCAAGGGGAGCAGGCTTTGCCACCTTTCCCAAGCCACCCTTGGCAATTACAACTCCCACCCACCCTGGGCTGGCACCAGGCAGGCTGCAGCTGCTCCAGGCTCCCCCCGAGCCCCCTCCCCACGTTGCTCCTGCTGCCAAAGGCCTCACGTGGCTCAGCCCCACAAAATGTGGAACGGGATCGTGGCCAGAGGCGCCCACTCAGCGAGTGCCATCTGCCAGGGGAGCTGGGATCCGTGGGAGCTGTGCAGGGAGAGGCTGCTGGCAGCAGGGATGGGCTCACCTGGGATGTTGTGGATGGTGATAGCCAGGATCATCAGCATTATCCTCCTCCAGCTGCTGCTCCCGGCCTGGGGGGCTCCGTCCCGGGGTGCCAGGAATGTCGGGGGGCCCTCGGACAGTGGGGACCCCGCTGCCCTCCTCCTCTGGTAGGGCTCCCCATTCTCAGCCTTGTCTGGGGACACAAAACACGGGGTCAGCCAAGGTGGGGACACAAAACACCAGGGACAGCCAAGGTGGGCACAGCTGGGCAGCTCCTGCCCCCCTTCCCAGAAGGAAAAAGCAAAGAAAAGGAATAAAACCAAGCAGAGCAGGGGTTCCCCACACTGCAGAGCTCAGGGGGACCCCAAGGTTCCACCTCCTCCTCCTCCAGGGATCCTGGTCCCAGCAAAGCTCCAGCCTGGCTGGGCCAAGCTCTGGGGCTGATGAGGAGGATGAGGATGATGAGGGTGATGCCCCCATCCCAAACCTGCCAGGCCTGCAGCTCCAAGGCCTTTACTGATGAAGAAAATCCCCCAAATCTTCCTTTGGACTTCAGCCCCTCCCAGAACAGCTGCATTTAGCCATTATTTCTTCCACTACCAAAAACATTTGTTCTTTGGATCTCTGGGTAATTCCAGGCTCTCCCAAGCCTCTGCTTCCAGCAGGACTGGTGCTCTCAGCTCTCTTCCAGTCAGTTATTTGGAACCAAACTCCAAAAACCTGAGGCCAAATCCAGGCTGGGCAGGGTGGAAGGATCCAGGCAAAGCCCACCCAGCACCTTCAGCACAACCAGGGCAAGAAATGAGCTCAGCTTCCTCAGCCTCCCCCAGCCAAGCCAAGATTTGACACTGCCTGTAATTCTCCCCAGGTGGATTATAAAATTCTCCCTCCTGCTCCTTGACCCCCCCAGCTCCAAGGTTTTGTCTGGGCAGCGCAGGGAGCTGTCTGAAACCATTCTGATGGGATGCCAGAGCTGCCCTGGCACGGGGAAGCAGGCTGTGCCCACTGGCACATCACCCATGGCAGGGTGGGATTCCAGAGCCAGGTAAGGACCTGAGCACCACGGGACTGCTGCAAATCCAGGGATGTCACCTTGGGGAAGGCAGAGGTGTCACCAACACTGCACATCATGCCAGCTGTGACACAAAACCAGACACCTGCAGGCCTCCGAAAGCACAGGGAGCACAAGCAGGAGCTGAAGGTGTTTGCACAGAATCACCCAGCATGGAGCAGACCCCCAGGATCATCGAGTCCAACCCATGACCGATCCCCAGAGCACTGAGTCCTTCCTTGGCCACCTCCAGGGGTGGTGACACCTCCCTGAGCGTTCCCTTCCAGCACCTGCCCACCCTTCCCACGAGGAAATCCCAGCCTGAGCCTCCCCAGGCCCAGCTGAGGCCACATCCCCTGGATTTTTGGTGCCACAACCCAAAAGCTCCCCGCCCTGGGCAGCAGCGGGCCCTGTGCATTCCCTGGTGTCACAGGTGACAGCAGCACCCCTGGCTGGCCCCAGCACAGAGCCACTGTCACAGCACTCTGCAAACACAGCAGATATTGTCCTTGTCCCCGGCCGCCAGCGCGGGCTGTGACGCTCGGTGGCAGAGCTCCGCTCCAGCCCATGGGGACAAGGATAAATATTTTGTTTGAAGCAGGACAAGGACAAACAGATGGCAGGGAGCAGCCCGGCCAGGGCACTGTGGGAATGCTGGCACAGCGAGCCCTGGCACAGGGGCAGCCAAGGCTGCGGCCGCCCCGGCACGGAGCTCCCACGGAAAGCTCCCAGCACTGCTCTGGGTTAATGCAATTGCTTGGCACGCGTCCCCTGGCCCCACAAACAGCCCCACCCTGAGCTGGCACTGCCCAGGCTGACCCCAGAGCAGACAGAACAGGGAATGGGGTCACCAAAGCTCCCTGGTGGCCCATGGAAAGCAGGAGTGGGGATGCAGAGGGGCAGGAATCCTCCTCTGGCACCAAAGAATTTCAGCATTCTGGGCAGACAAGTCACCTTCAAGTGACAAAACCCCAGAAAGATCCAAGTGTTCCATAAAACACCACAAGAGCCACGGCAGATTTTCACAGAATCACAGAATTATGGAGTGGCTTGCCGGGAAAGGGACCTCAAAGCTCATCCAGTGTCACCCCTGCCATGGGGACAGGATGAGCAGCTCCGTTCTTGCTCTCCACAATTCCTCTCCTTCTTTCCTCCTGGCATTCCAAAGTCACCTGCTGCTCCTTTCACTCCAAAAGGACACGGAGCCTTCACCTGAAAAACCCTCATTGCACATTAATGAAATCAATTTTTAAATGAAAATAAATTGACAAAGCATTAGATCCCAGGGGTTTAAGCAGAGATGGAAGTGCCCAGTGGAGCAGTGCCCATGATTATGGAAGGATTGGGTGGGAAGGGAGCTCAAAGCCCATCCAGTTCCACAGGGACACCTCCCACTGTCCCAGGCTGCTCCAGCCTGGCCTTGGACACTTCCAGGGATCCAGGGGCAGCCACAGCTGCTCTGGGAATTCTCTTCCAGGGCCTCCCCACCCTTGCAGCCAGGAATTCCTTCCCAATACCCCATCTAACCCTGCACTCGGGCACTTTAAAACTCCTTCTCCCAGCACATCAGCTCCTTGCAAGCCAATTCCTAGAAGGAATTCCTCCAGCCCCAGGCTGCATTTGCTGCTCAGCAGCTCCCAGCGCTCTGGGATCAATCCACATCTGGAGAGACACATCTGGAGCTCCCATCCTCATCCCCCACCCAGCACAGGGAGGCAGCACCAACTTCCCAGGCCAGGGCTGGCAGGGCTGGCACACACCTGGCAAAAGGGGCCCCTCTCAGAGCTGGAAAAACAAAATAAGGAATCGATTTCTGAGGAAAATAAATAAAGTGCTCCTTTGTTCTCAGCCCTTGGACTCACAAAATCAATCCCAGCTCCCTCTGGAGGGACAGACTGATTGGATTTTTTGCCTGTTCCCCAGGAATAACCAAAGCATGAGGCTGCTTCCAGGAGCACAATCCATCATCCAGGCAGATGGGACTGGGAGTGGGATACCCTGGTGGTACCACACCTCCTGAAGGAACCACACACACCCCTCTTGATCCACCTCCACTTTCCCAGGCTGCTCCAACCTGGCCTTGGACACGTCCAGGGATCCAGGGGCAGCCACAGCTGCTCTGGGAATTCTCTTCCAGGGCCTCCCCACCCTTGCAGCCAGGAATTCCTTCCCAATACCCCATCTAATCCTCCTGTCTTTCAGTTTGAAGCCAACCAACAAAACCAAAAGCCCAGCCCAGCCCTGTTGCTTCACGGCCACTTCCTCAGGTGCTCAGTCCCAGCTCACTTTGATCAGACACCTTGTTAATGATTCCTTTATCTATTATTTTTAATTAATCTGCTTATTGGGGGGAAAACTATGAAAAATTGCCTTTTCTGAGGAAATCTGAAGTCCCTCCAAAGCCAGTGGTGACAAAGGATGGGGGAGATGCCACAAGGGTGAGGAAAACAGGGAAAACCTGTGGGAATGAAAAAGAATTGGTGCAGCTTTTCTAGGGGGAGTGCCAAGGAGGGGCTCGGAGGGACAGTTTGAACACAAAATCACCTTTCCTATAAACCACCCCTGGATCAGCCAGGGATAAAGGCAGCAGGGAGACAATCCCGGCATCGTTTTCAGAGGAGTGCCACACAGAGCCGCCTCGAGGGATGGGCTCCACTGCCACGTGCTGCTGGAAAAGAGGATAAAAAGGAAAGGATAATTACAGAGCAGCGATGCCACCAGTGCCAGCTCGGGACAGGAGCGTTCCCAGCTGGAAACGCCGGGCTGGGGGAACAAAACAGTCATTAGGGATAAGCACGGACTTGGCTGGGAATCAGGAAAGCCTCAATGGCAAACTGGAGTGGAGATAAGAGCAGAACAAGGGCTGGGCTGTAAAGAAGAGCTGACACCACAGACAGGCTGCTCCCACAGCCGTGCCAAGACAATTAGGTGGCAAATAACTCTCAGTGCCACAGACATTATTTTAAATCTTGTTCACAAAAAGTCCTTTAGATACTCCACTCGATTTATCATTATTGAATTTCTTAGTAAAGCTGCGGGGCAAAGATTCTGCCAAAAGTTTAATTACATATGTGCAGCCTGCTGCATTTTTCATATCCTCTGCAGCCAGCACTGGAGAAAAGATAAATGGCTTTGAGCATGGCTTAAACTGCTGCTGAAGTGAAAAAACCGACCGGCTCCTTATCAGCATGTGAAAAGGCTTTTTATTTTTGATTATTCCTTAATGAAAACTGTTTGCATTAGCCGTGAGCTCAGCTCTGGTGCACAAACAGACCGAGGCTCTGTTGACTCTGGGCTCCAAAGCCCTGCTCCTGCACTCCCTCAGCTCCAAATCCACACCCTGGAGCTCTCCAGCTTTCCACACCTGCTCCAGAACCCTTCTCCTCCTCCCACCTAGGCCTGGCTTTAACCTCTCCTAAGCCCTGTGCTGGAATCTGAGGTATTGATGATTCCAAAATTGCAGAAAGTCTCTGTCTGACAGCCCAACTGCCAAAGCAGAAGCCAGAATTGGTCTGTGCTGGTTTCCAGGTTGTTTATTCTGTTTATCTCTCACATGTTCTGCTGCCCTGCCCAGCTCTGTCCTGCAGGGCAGCGTGTGGGGCTCTGCCCTCAGTGGG